TAATCATCTTTTTTATGTTTGAAGGGTTCTGGAATGGATAAGCCAGAAATAGAGTATATTCATCCTTTCAATTACTTAATTCCAAAAAATATAGATTGATTTTAAGTGTATATTGAGGTGTTTTTTTTTTCTTTTGCAAATAACCATGACCATAACAGTCTAAGAAAAAAAAAAAGGGAACATATTTGCATATGCAAAGATATCCATACTATCCTGGGCATCAAAGAGAACACAGCCTGGTTAACACGACAGGCTGCCATAATTACCTATGCTAATGTAATTCTGCACTGTACTGTGCAGAACTTTACTGTTTTCCGAACAGAGACTTCCAAAATATCTGACCTTCCTAATAAAACTGCAGTTTAACTTCTAGGAGTAAACTAAAGAATTAGTAATTATTTTAGCTTCTTCACAGAGGACTTCTTTTCCATTTTTTTTCTATTCAGACTTACCGAGCAAGCATGAAAAATATACACATTTGTGCACAATATGAAAAATTCACTTTGTTTCAGGAAAGGAGTAGGTTTAGGTGATCTTATGCAAAATTTTGAGAGGAAGTCTGTTCAGTGTTGCAGAGGAAGCAGCAATGGAAGACGTTTGGAGACAGGAGGAGGCTCCGCATTTTCAATACTCAACCACATCTATCTGCTCTTTAAGTCTAGCAGGGAAGCCTTAATAAGCAGCATACTGACACGAGCACTGAAAATTTTTCGTTACATGTTTATTTCTTAAAGCTTTCATCTATATGACAAAAGTACTTACTACTTTCTCTGCATTTCCTGGGCTTTTTTTTTTCTTTTTAAACAAAACTTCACAGCAGATGACAGCCATGCATTACAAGCATAAACATGAAGTTAACTTTAGTTGCCCTTTACCATGTAATTCTATTCTAGGATAATGCTTTTATCTGTAATCATTCCTTTTAAACTTTATTACTTTTGTGTTATTGGACTGCATTTGTGGACTAGTCCTTTATCTGTCAGGCTCCCTTTGCTATTCTCCTTTCCAGTACACTGTTGTCAGCTGACATCATCTTGTTTTTTATACACTAAAACATTTTTATTGCCAAACCTTCTCTTTCAGCAGACATGCCTGACTTCCAGTGAATGCAGGAGCAGGATGACGAGTGAAATAACGTACGTGAAATTAGGGATAAATTGACAGGATTAGAACATATAGCACAAATCTGTGCAACTCAAAGTCACAGACCAAAACAGGAAAAAATGAAAACAGAAAATCATTCCTGCAAAAGCGTAGAAAATAAAATAATAAGACTGAAGAACTTTTTTATTCTGCAGGTATTACATTTAATTTATTCCACTTTTCAAAACCACCATGAAATTCTGTGACGTATTTGTTTTGTAGGAGAGAGGAACAGATATGTTCAAAATCACAAAGAATCCAACAAAACACCTAAACAATGCATTTCAGGTTTTCATGGGAAGATTTATCCTTTAGTAATCACTGTAATAATCTACACTAAGCACAATGAGTTTTACTCAAATTATAACATTTTCAGCAATACGTCCAGTTCATTAGATAAAATTCTTTATGTGTTTTGGCCAATTGCTTATTTAAGATCTTCTACAAAATTCCTTAGAAGTTATGTAACATCTCCAGAGATAGAAACATAAATTGTTTCAGATTCTATCCAACACAAAGCTAGTCTGGACATGCAGTATTATAGCAGATATAGGTGGATACCAGAAAAAGGCAGTAAACTAGGTTACTGTATAGAGAGCAGTTCTTTATAGTTCCTGAACCCACAGCGATAATGTATGAGCTTTGTTCTAAAAATCCTTTCTTTACCTTGCCTGATAGCAAAATATACACTACCTAGATAAAAAATTCATCTCATAAAAAATTCTTCAGATCAAAGAAAGTAACAATACTGTAGTGAACGAAAGGAAATGCAAGTGTAATTTCTCAAATATTCCTGTCCTGTCACTGTATTCATGATCATAATTGGTGCAGAAAAGACTTCACTGCTACTACTTCGCTGCTTCTCCGGACAAATGTTGCCTTCCATTCTAGTGATAAAGTCTGTTTAGCCTGCCTTCCTTTCATAGTGAATCTAGAACATTTCAAATACCAACTTTCCATTCAGGGACCTTCTCATTTCCTGCATTTCCCTTGCAATAGCAGATACCACTCATTCCATGCCTTGCTCAGCAGCCACTTGTTGGCATCACTCCTCTGCATGAGATCCCTTGGCAGAATCACATACATGAAGTCATGATTTCTACACAACTCAAATACAGTTGGTGATGAAAAGATGGCAGAAACAGATATTGAAGACAGCTTTTTAATGGGTCTGAACAACTCACAATTTTTCAATATGAAATCTGTGGATTCTGAAATTATACCAACCTACACTACAGGAGATTATGAGTTATAACTCATAATGAAGGAAACGAGAAAAGCAGATGACTGTCAAGCTGAATGTTGGTGTCCAGATGCTATAAAAAATTATCTGATGTTTCTAAAGCTTAAAAACTGCAGCAATACAATCAGATTTATGGAAAATGCCACATCATATACGTGATCTGAAACACTAAGTAATTCCTGAAAAAATGTGTATCAGCTTTCATTGTATCAGCAAGACAGTATCATTATTGCTAAAGCATTGAAGTAGCTCATCATTGAGACAGATAATAGTACCAAGCATTAATTGCAAAGAACTTTTTTAGCAGTTTTTCCCTGACACACTTGGGTGTCAAGCAGCTCTTCCAAAACACACCTAAATTAGAATCACTAACAAGCAGAGGAGAAGAATAAGCTTTTATCCTTGTATGCTTTGTCAATGTGGTGTTTCTCTTTTTCATTCTCTGGTCAGATCGAGGAGATTTTTTTAATCATGATAGATCAGTTTATTTTCCAAATATATGAGAGTACTTACCAGCTGTAAAGCTGCAGAGATGTCTTCTGTGCTTTCAACAGTCCCAAAATAATTAGTAGCCTCCTTCTTCTAGTTTTATATCCACTTTGGGAACAAGTTTCCCTTAGACATCTTCCACTAATTGCCACAAAGACTTGTACAATAATCCAAAGGCAAGATAGTAACCTTCTTTGCTAATACAAGACTAATCTAAATCGCCTCTGCCTTTTTGCTGTGGAGGCAGGCAAACAGTAAACAGAAGCAGAATCCTGCTGGGTTGCCTCATTTGCAAAAGCAGTATAAAAGCAGAAGGAAGTTCCCTAAGTAACTGCTGTGATAAAAGAAGTTGTCAAGGCTAAAAGCCAGATGTGGCTTCAGATGACTGTTTTTAAACTCTGAAGCACTTTGTTCAGTAGGTCAGGACATACGAAGATTGAGACATAAAAAGTGCATTTTTGTTTAAACTTAATACAAATACAAGAGTCCTCTCTTTAACCTTTGAAAGAAAGTTAGCTTACTGGCTGTCTACAAACTTCGTATCAGTCATGAATGCAGGACTTGGAGAAAACAAAGCAAGTGGTCATTTTATATTTTATATTTTAGATGAAAACACAAAAAAATACTTGGTGAAATGAAATGCCTGTTACAAGACAGGCATTAGCTGTTACTAGATTTTTGGCGGCCTCACCTGTTATTAAAAATATTTAGTTCTCTATAAGATAGTCTAAATTCTGCAGATTCTGTATTATTTTTTCTGCCTTTTAAGCCACATTTAACATAAAAGGCTTTGTCTACCTAATCAACAAGATCAAAAAAGAACATCCACAATTATTTGTGTCTCCATGCAGCTAGCCTTGCAGAAACAGACTAAAAAAAAAAAAATCTGGGAACACAAAAATTTCTCATTGCAACCATTTAGATTAAACTATAACCCTTTGTCATTATCAAAGTTTCTTTTTCTTGTCAGAGATTTCCGATTTATAAATATGATTACCTGGAAGCGTATTTAAAAGTTATTAGATAGCTATTATTATACAAGCTTTTTTCTAAAACCATGCCATGAAACGGAAGTCTCAGAGATCACATCAACCTGCTACCTGTGCTCCAGAATCCAGGAGCAATGATCAGTGTGATGGACAGAGCAAGCTTTACAAGAGTTATATGACTCTTGTGAAACATGCATTCAACCCTAAAATCACAAAGTTATGATCACAGAACCTTGAAGCAATTCAAGCATTTCTAGATTTGTAGCATGGGATTATTCATGCTTTTGTGTACCAAAAGTAAAAGCTGTTCTGCAAAACACACTACTTCTGGTTCTTGAAGAATATAACTCAGAACTTCTTGACGTTAGGTCATTAGTCAGACATCTAAAAAGAATTATGCTAATACAAAGGACAATAAGGGTCTCCCATTCCAAAGCGAGTACAAAAAAACACCCCCATGTTTTAAACCAGAAATCAGTCATAATTCTTTGGCATTATAGTGCATGAACTGTTGTAGACAACGCATTGCGATAAATACTGCAATTAGGTGATTAGGCAATTACTAAGCAAGATAACATGTCAGTTTTATCTGACGAAATGGCATTTCCAGTGCTTTAGTTGAGGTTCCTGAAAATAATTCTACAGTCTCCTATACATAAGTGAATTTTATATTTCATTCAACATGTCTAGCTATCATTTGGATTTTGCATAGAAGCAGAATCCTACACTTCAGGTCACTCTCGACTGATCACGTGCTACAAGAACTCAGTTCTTCTAAGTTGTCCTAATTTCTTGAGGCCTCCCAGCTGACATCAATTTCGCTCCACGCTTGGAATCCTATGTCTTAAATTCTGTGCAAAATAAATCTTTTGAAAGAAGGCTACTGCTTCTTAGATGAGTCAATACGAATCATCAGAATCCTTGATTCTATATAATTTTGGTTGCTTTTGGTATAGGGAATTCCATTCATTGATTCTGTAGGTCAAACTATCACATGGGAGCCACCTAAATTTCTTACCATGAGATGTCTATTTATTTAAGCTGCAACTTATCTAATCCCTTAAGAATTATATTTTAAAAATATTTAAGCACATTCTGACAACTGATACAATTCAATAAAGCTTTGTGTCCATTACCTTTAAAGACGATTTAGTTCGAGGTTCTGTTTTCTGTCTGGTAAGTTTGTTTTGAATAAGCAATGACTGATCTGTACGAGCATCATAATTTCCATGTTCTGAATCATCTGTGTACGTGTCTTTGTCCTTTCCTACATCTGAAGGAAAAACAGAAGAAAATAGTGGGCTTATTTTAGGTTGTAGCAAAGAGAAACTAACAGTATTGTTACAGCCACAGCTGAATATTCCTTTAAAGTATTCACTTTTCAATAACTTACAGTCTATCCTTTCCTGCAAAAGTCTTTAACTTGAAATGTTACCATGTTTGTCTTAAACTAGAAGTAAACTCTTTTTAGTAGGAGGCCTATAGAAACTTTTTTCGACCATCATTCAAATCAAAAAAGCCCACAACGTTGTTCACAGCAGTTTAAAAAAGCCCATAAAGCAAGTATTAAACGTTTTTGTGCTTGACTCACAACTGTCAAGACTCAATATGTGTTATTAATTAGGCAGGTGCATCCTGGAGACTAGACTCATAACTCACGTTTTAAACTTCAACAAGCAATCGAACTGCACGATTCTCCTACACACTTGCTGCTCATCCTTAGGTACAGTATTTGGAAATTTGCATATTAAGGTATGGCAGTGACCACTTCAGAACACTTTTTAAGACGTGCACCTGACGGTCGTAGAAGATAGCTGACACCATGTAGAAAGTGCTTGTGTTTTCATTGGATTTGTTTTTAATTGCTCAGCAAAAGTTTTTTTATAACAGAGCATCCTAAGATAGCTGCAGGTGACTGAGGACCTTCCTCAAAGCTTACTAAGATCCACTCGCACAGACTAAATTTCCTCCCACATCATCACTACAGACAAGCTAGAAGGACTCGAGTCTCTGAGTCACTCTACATCCTCTATCAGAAGGGACACTTTTTTCCAGACATTTAATTTCCTTGCACGTTCTCCATAAAAAAAATCATGACAATACTTACCACATATACACAGCAGGAGTGAAATAAGGGGTAATGCCTGTAGAACTTTGGACAGGCAGTTTTAATGAATGTTGGAAAACAGCTGGTCTTGAAAAAAATATTTTAAAGATTAAAAGGATAAAATAATTATTCCCACAGAATTATATCTTGGATAAACTGGAAATAGAAACATATTCAGACATAAAAGTTACCCATAAATCCCGAGCCAAGTTCTCTTCCCAGCTTTCAGATCAACATGGGAAAAGTCAAGGGAACTGGGAACAGCATTTAGCCCAGCAATTCTAAACCCTAAATAGCAGCCAAGAAACAAGTCCTGGTTGCTGTGGGAACCACAGTCTTGAATTTCCTGAATTTTATATTCATAAAAGCTCATCTGCAACAACAAAGTATTTTTCATTAAGTTGTTCAGTTAAATTCTTCACAGTAAGTACTACACAAAAAATATAGCCACAATTATCTCATGTCGCCTAGTCATTTCTGAGAGGGAATATTAAACTGCAACATTTACCAAGAGTTGTTTTTTCCTGCAATTCAGCTGTTTACATAATGACTACAGAAAATGAGCCCTTGGTAATCTCCGATACTGCTATCAACCTCAGTAAATCTGTAAAAGGATTTCTTAATGTACGAAATAGCCCGTTTTAATTGTCAGAGCACCAACCTCAGAGATTTTATTTATTTTAAACACAGTTTTAACCTAATATACAGGTTACTCTGTGTAACGTAGTGAATGTAGTAAAAAGACTGTCAAGAAGGTTTCAGTTAGTAGGTATCCTGTTTCCTACTTTGTGTATTTATGCAACTTTGCAGGTTTGATTCACACCCAGATGTGATGAGCTCTTAGCTTTGCTGAAGATCAAGGTCTAAAAAAAAAAGCCAATAAAATGAAAAGGAGAGGCCTATGAAACCTAACCTTTTGCATCAAGACACGTCATTTAATCTGAAAGAAAGACTCTATTTACATTAAAAAGTCTATTTTTATGAGGGAAGTTTTAGAGGATTAGACATTATGATTACACCTAATACTCAAAAAACAACCTTTGCAAAGGTACACAATATTTTGCCTAAACAATTTAAAGTTATGAAATGAGTTTTCCCTTAGTGTTCAACAAACTTTTACCTGCTAAACATTTTTGTTTTCAAGAACGCAGCTTTTAAACTGTAGCATGTATTTTCTGTAAAAAAAAAGACATTACCTTCCATTTAGATACCTGCTATCTTGCCTGGAATGTAGTTAAAAAACGTTTTAGCAACAAAAAAACCCATAAAAATAATAAAAAAATATAATTAAAAAGGTACATCTCTTAGATAAAATTTAACAATACTTGTTTCTGTAGCTTTCAACAATCAATGACTTATTTTATGCACCTCAAGCACTGCCCTACCAAGTAATGGTATCAGTACAGTAAAAAAGGGGAGGAATGAATCTTAAAACACAGCATTTAAATATTGTACTTGCATAAGAATTTGTCACAGCTGCCTGAAAAAATGTGAGAGACATAGCATACAATCCCTATTTTAAAAATATATCCAAAAGCGTGCATTTTTCTCAACATTCATATAGTTTTAGATATTAATGTCTACACAACACCTGAAGTATGCTTTGTAGATACTTTGAATACACTAGTACTCCCAATTTACCTCTTCTGCAGCACATACCAAAACAACATCTTTAATTTAAATAATTATACTCAAAGTTCAATGGATTGCATCATATTTCTATACCAGTACAGGTTAGAAAGAACAAATGCAGTGCGTGTGTGTTTTGGGAGGCTCATTTTGCTTCTTAAGTTGAACTTTCTGTAAATTTGTTTTGATTAGTTTTTAAATTTTTAAACAATGGAGAACGAAATATGTTGGGTTTAGAAAAAGATTTTGAGAGAAGACGACAGAAATGAAACTTTGCCACTAACAGCATTGACTGTGTTTTAGTACTCTTCTATGACCAGGTGCTTTTTCCATAATAAGGTAACCACCACTTTTAATAAACAAGAAAGTCTATCCATTGTAATTTTCCCTCCAAACAAGTCAAAATTGCACACACAGATAAACTTACACGACCTAAATTAACTTGAGCTTGGTCACCCCTAATGTCACCAATGCATACTACAATACACAGTAATTTAACTGCTTAAGTCTTTCTTCAGTAACTGCAGTTTCCAAACTTTCATGAAACTTTTATGTAACTTTTGTCTATAAAGTAACACTATTTTCTGCCACCCTTTCCTCCATAATCTCTGTTGTTTGGTTTTGCATTTTAACTGCCATTTGGGACTGCCACAAGCCAAACCAAGATGGCATCCGTGAATGTTGCAGCTAGAGCTGTACTGCCCAAGGATGTTTTTAATGTAACATACCCCAAAAGCAATGATACAGACTAAGAGTCTTTCTATTTGACTTGCATTATAAGTATCCATCTTCAAATTCAAACATGGAGTCTTTATTTGGCTGCAGCTCCACACAACACCATGAGAAAAGCTTGGCTGCCTCAAGCTCTTTCCATCTGCACTGTGGGAAAGCTACTGTTTACTTCATTTTTCAGTTCCCATCATGCCTTCCCCGGCCTACGACAACTCCTTTGGTTGTTATTGTCAAGAACAACTGCCAGCATTTCTATTCTCCTATCTTCATGAGTGCTGTCCCACCTGTGCTTTACTGGGCACATCTGAAAGACATGAGCCTGGAGTCCCATTCCCATAAACCAGGACACCTGCAAGTGCTCATGATTTATTTTATTAAACATGTTTTTTTTTGTTTTTTTTTCCTTTTTTCAGATCTAAAAAAGGTTGATCAGATTCTCAGCTGTGTAGGTCTAATCACTAAAATACTGCTCTTCAATGGCCAATAATCGATATGTTGAAATCTATCAGCTGAGCAGATATAGTGTATTTAGCTTTCAGTTAGTCTATACTTCAGATATTGATTCTGCAGGGTACTAGAGTGAATGGTAATTTCCAGAAACATCTAAAACACCTTTAGTCAACGTAAAAATATAGCAAGGTTGGTAAAGAGTGCAATAATTATTCACCAAACAGTCTTCCATTTCTCTTTTACTGTGGGATCCAATAAAAAAAAAACCAACTTAAATAATTTCTGTCCTGTTGGGTAGACTCTTGGCTAAAATCAGCTTTCCTGCATTAATGCTAAAGTAAATGGCGGATCTAGAGCTATCTGAAAAACATTGAAATTCTGCAAAAGCTCGAGCTGGAAAGACAATAGACAGAAAAGAGGGGGGGAAAAGCACGACTGGTGTAAAAAAGTCTGCTGCAGTAGGAGGACTGTAAGTGGGAGGATGGGACTGTTGTGTGCTCATGTCCATGTCCTCAAAGTGACAAGGACATCTAAAAGACATCTGCCTTCATCCTTAACCGCTCTCTTTTTTTGTTTTTGAGCTCCTGGTAGGATTAATTTTTTCTTTGCTGTTCAGTGAAAATATTATTGCTTATGCGAACAGACTGTGCATGACCCTTTACATGACCTCTTTATATGAGTTTTCAGAGTACCTACTAAAAGAAGGAGAAAGATTTTAACATTAATCCTACAAAATCTTATATTTCAAAGACTATGTGCTTGCAGAACTAAGTAAACAACTATACAATGTAACTATAATGCATTTTTAAGCAGTTAGTATAGCCAATAACAGTATTTTGCTGATGTATTTCACTTATTCAATTACGTTAATTGAAATCTGTGTGGTAGTTGAAAGCTTTTTCAACTGTTGTCACATAAAAAATTTTATTTAAAAAAATCATTAAAGTTAGATATACAATTTGCAAGCCCCAAGTGACCTGTTACAGAAAGGAAAATTAATAAGCTATTATGACTTCAAGCCAGGAAAACGAAGACTTCTGCATTAAGCTGTTCAGCTTTCACTAGCACTGCAAAAATTAGAGAGGAAAAAAAAAGACTGAATTTAAATAAAGATGAGGATATTAAATCGGAGAAAAGTGTGACAGCTTGTAATTCTAGAGACAGAGACCAAATCGTATTTCAATGAAGTCAATGGCAATTTCACTATTCAATTCAATAAATCAGAGACTTCTCTTTAATTAGGTACATACTTATAATTGTTAGAACACCTGAACAGAAAACTAAGTCTTGCATTCTGTCAACTTGGACCCACACTCACGTATAAAGTGATTTAAAAAAGAATCAAGCATTAATCA